GATTCTCCTTTGGGAGAGCTCGCTGGACCTCTGCGGGTGGAAGCAGGGCTGAGAGGACTTTGCGGTGAGAGGCTCGGGGAACGGATGCACGCGTGAGAGGGTGAAATATCACGTGATTGTAACTCAGGCCGTTTGAGTAAAATACCGTGTCAGTTTAATAAGTAAAAGGCTTACAGTTCGAGCAGTCAATTACAGTACGGGGATGCGAAGTCTCTTAATCACTTGCACGGGGCGATAGTATTTATCGAGAGCCGGCCTCGTGAATGCGGATGCCCGTGAGCCGTGGCCACGCTACGCCGGCGTGCGATGCATGGAGAGCTTGAGCTGCCGTTGATGCTGTATCGAATGTCCTGGATGAGTCGCACTGCTAAGCGTTCACTGAATGTTCACACTGAGTCAGTTCTCGGATGAGAAAGTCCACAAGAGCACTAGAAAGATCTTCTGCACTTCACGACGCGTGTACGATGTACCGTCGCCATAAGCGAAAAAGCCCCGGTAACGAGCGTGAAGAAGCGCTGTCGCCTCGCGTCGCGATCGGGCATGCGCGCGCCGCGCTCCTGTGGCGCTGCACGATCTGACCCGGCTGATGCTGCCATCACGCCGGTGACGAACAGACCGAGATTCATAATTGAATCCGGAACACATACTTATACTTACTTATACAATTCGAATAATGAATTTGAACCTCGTAGTCACGGAAAATGGTTCTCCAATTATTGAGAACAACAAGATGGTCGTATGGAACGTTGATGGTAAGTTGCTTATTTGTAATATTATTCAATATGAACTGTCCACTACATGAACAGTTAGGGATTGTCCCGATTGCGCACATAACCGATCGGACACGGCAATATTTCCCGATCGGACACAGTCCCGATCGGACACAGCCCCAATCGAACACAGTCCCGATCAGACACTGTTCCTATCGGACACACTCCCGATCGGACACATTTTGTATTGGACACATGGTTGCAATCGGACACAGATTCGATCGGACACAGGCTCGATCGGACACATTTTACATCGGACATATATGGTTGCAATCGGACACAGATTCTATCGGACACAGTCCCGATCGGACACAGGCTCCATCGGACACGGGCCCGATCGGACACGGGCCCGATCGGACACTCTAGATGGGTTTTTAAGTGTTTATAACATGAAATTTAAGGCAAACTGTGACTCTAGATGGGTTTCGAGTGTTTATAACATGAAATTCAAGGCAAACTGTGACTCTAGATGGTTCGGGATATTTATATATATTTAACCCGGGTTAAATGTTCTGTAAAGCAGATAATTTTCCATCATTTGTAAGTCCATACGCACACAAGAACATTGTGCTTTACAGAAATACGCAAACCCGATACAAAATGTGTCCGATCGGACCTGTGTCCGATCGAGTCCGTGTCCGATCGGGCCTGTGTCCGATCGGGACTGTGTCCGATAGAATCTGTGTCCGATTGCAACCATATGTGTCCGATACCAAATGTGTTCGATCGGGAGTGTGTCCGATAGGAACTGTGTCTGATCGGGACTGTGTCCGATTGGGACTGTGTCCGATCGGGACTGTGTCCGATCGGGAAATATTGCTGTGTCCGATCGGTTATGTGCGCAATCGGGACTCACTCAACATTTAGGAGGTTATGGTGGACGGTTTTTTGGGCTTTATATAAAATTTTTCTTCGTTAATCTTTAATTGATTCATTTCTTTTTTTATTTCAACAGGTAATTGTCCGGTGCACCTTGATATAACATCCGAAAATCTAGCGTCTTTTAATCTGGGCGAAATAAATTTCTCAAGTAAATTCTTTGCTTTGCTATTTCTTCTGTTTTATTAAATATTATGCGAGACTACTTAATTTGACGTTGAATCTTTGAAGATACAGATAATATATTTATGTATTCTGGATCAGATAAGACTCCAGTGTCAATAATGCAACACAATTGTCTAGTGAACAGGTTGTTGTAAACTCCGAGACTCAAAAATTACTAAGTCTACAACATACTGACATCTCTGGCAAGAAAAGTATGTACATATATCTTTTCAAAATCATAATTCAGTCTTCTTATACACCGCGTCATTCATTATCAATTCTTTTTTGTCACAGATGTAGCATCATGGAAAGATTATGCTGTTAAAACCCTCATTGACGAATGGAGAAAACATGAGTGTTATTTCAAGAGCACTACCATTACTAATAAAAAAGTCTGGGAAATGATAACCAACAATATTGGTGATTTTTTACCGTATCTGGCGATAAAAATTCTTATTGCGAAAAAATATTACCCCAGCCGGGATTCGAACCCGGGACCTCCCTACAATCCATGACGGGCGTCTTAGCCAGCTCGACCACCGGGGCTGTGGTAATATTATTCGCAATAACATGTATATTACTTAAGATGTTGTTCACGCGTCTATTTCGACTTTTCAGAACTGTGCGTCGATATGGTTGTCGATCGTACACCGAACTGTCGATACGCGATTTTTAAATTTACTGTTTCCCCTTCCCCCTGTAGAAGAACACCATGTTTTTTAGGTCAATGGTGTATAATCAACTAGAATATTCTTAAGATTGCCAGTAGTAATTAACAATATTGGTGATTTTGTTAACCGTATCTGGCGATTAAAATTCTTATTGCGAAAAAATATTACCCCAGCCGGGATTCGAACCCAGGACCTCCCTACAATCCGTGACGGGCGTCTTAGCCAGCTCGACCACCGGGGCTGTGGTAATATTATTCGCAATAACATGTATATTACTTAAGATGTTGTTCACGCGTCTATGTCGACTTTTCAGAACTGTGCGTCGATATGAAAAGTCGAAATAGACGCGTGAACAACATCTTAAGGGGTAAAACCACTCTAGAGGCTGAAAAAAGACCTAAATTTGACAATTTATTTTGGGAGTATGACAAACGGAATAGAATTTCTTGTCAGAGGGTTTATTTAACACATATTGAAGTACGAAAAAAAATTTTTTAATTGTCATTTTCATACAAAATGGCGGCGACAGAGCCCGTAGTCGAAAACAGCTTTTTTGAAAACACCGCCACGGGAGGACGGATTTCTCGGCATGTATGAGTCCTGGAACAAAAAACCAAAAAAATTTATAATCTATATACAATTGGCTTTGGAAGTACCTAGGGGTTTTTTTGTAAATCAATTTTTGTGGAAATGGTGCACTTTGTAAGAAATAAATCGATTTTTTGCCCTAAAAATGAGCATTAAATTGTTTCTAAAAAAAGTTTACATTCAATCAAAAAACGGCTACGTACTTCCAAAGAGAATATTGTTGTGAAGCTACTGTAAAAATTTCAAATCGATCCATGCAATAGTCTCCGAGAAATACGTCCTCCCAGTTTGAAAAAAGTAGTTTCGAGAAAAACGCGTTTAAAATTTTATGAACACTTTAATCCTTGAAATTTTTGTTTACCTCTGCGATGCCTGCACCATACATTTGGCCATCCAGGTCGATGTTCGCCTCCTCCTCTTCCTTCCTAGATGCTTTTAAGGCTATTCGGGCCCTTTTTGCGGCATCGCTAAGCGATTTCTCGGAAAAGCTGATGCGGCGCGCGTCGGTTTCCACGCAGAAGTTATAACAGTTCGGCCCAATTGTCATATCCAAATTCTGCATGAGCCTCATGATAGTTGATAGGCCGTCATTATATATGCCTACACTAATATAAACTGCCGTGTCAAGAATGTGTTTGCCGCTTGAAGTCGATTTCGGAGCCATTGACCAGACTGTAGCGTTGAAGCTCTCGTTACTATTTTGCGTAAAGCCGCCGATGCAACGAGAAAGCAGCAAGAGAACATTCTCGAAGCCCCGTCTCCAACACTCATATTGTTCTTGTTATTCACTTCAACACAATATATAATATATAAAATATAAAAA